CTGTGAAGTCTGAAGTCAACTAAAGGGCTAATGATAACTAGCATATGGCCCGCCATTTGATATAAATAAATAAAATCTTTCAAGACCATGGATATAATAAGCTTGCGGAATTTAGGCATCTTGAAAAAAACTTTAACCACTGCAAAAATTGCTGCAATCCAATGTTCACTCCAACTCTATCTAATTTAGTACAGATAAGTTCGTGATAGGCTAATTTTACTTCTGTTAGTGTGGCATTATTATAATTTGCTAAATTACTTCAATTGCTTTTTTGTTGTATTTCAGAGTGGTCCAAGAGATATTTCCAATTTCGATTCGGAATTCACTAAAGAGCCGCCACGTCTAACACCCACAGACAAGCTCTTCATAATGAACCTTGACCAAACCGAATTCCCCGGCTTCTCTTTCGTCAATCCTGAATTTGTCGTTGAGGTTTAAAAAATGTATTTCTTTCTCCTCGACTCCGCCTACCTACCTTTCGATGTTGTCTCCATACACACGCAATTCAGCGCGCAATCAATACCCCCCCCCTTTACCCCACTCTTCAACTCCATTGAACTGATGACTTCGACAATGTTGATGACCATTATTCTTGCTATTTGACCTCCAACCTTATTTACCTGCTCCTCCTCCAAATTTATTCGCACTTACAACTGCACCGCTTCTGCCTCTATTTATCTAGACTCTTACCAACTTGTGTATTTTTGTTTTCTCTTTTCTCCTCTCCATACTCTACTTTATACCTATTATTATAAATATATATATAAGTAAGTTTGTTTATCTGGAATCCTACGAAGTTTTAAGCTACCTTGTTGGGGAGGGGGGCGGGTGATTGAGAATCTGTTAAAAAGCTAACATTTTTATAGAACTAATCGAAATATAATGCACATAACAAATAGGTGAATATGCTATCAGAATAAATAATGCATATATTGAGTGGAAGGAAGGTGTAATCTGGCTATTTATGACCTCCGTGTATAATCGAGCCATATTTAACCTGAGCAATTAGATTTAATGATCTGGAAGACCAAATTTGTTGAAAATTGCATTCCTAGATCAAGTCTGAACATGGTAATATCAACTTCAGCTGTGTGAGACAATTACATCAGGGAAGGACTGGCCAATGGTTTATTGGCGATTTCACAGCAGGAGTCTATCCAAACGCCCTAATTCGATCCTTCAATAAGACCTTTTCTTCGTCTTAATCTTTTTTGCTCTATATAATACATTTTTGAAAAAAATGCAAATTTTAGAAAAGTAAAACTTCAAAAATACCATCAATAAAATTTGTAACATAATTGTTCATTAACGTGTTGCTGGCATTTTATTCCAATTTTATTACGCCAAATATTTTGCTTGACTTCATTTTGATAAAAATATCAAAATCAAGGCAACCTCTTTCTCTCGATTCCCAAACTCGATCTCCATCCTAAGTGAGCGATACAAGTGGATGATGAAAGCAAGTCTTAGTGAATCTATTTCTCGAACAAGTAGAGAAAGGTTTCAAATTGTCTAGACTGCACTCCTTTATTGCCATGATCTTATAAATTCTCGAACTAGCATACCTTGATCTCAATTTTAAAGTACTCACCTGATCAATCATCTATTTAAGTATGTGTGGCTTCAATTCGAAATATTGTCATTTGCCTTCGTTCACGGTACGCAACTACAACTTGTAATTTAAATACAAATCCAACGGAGAAGTATCTGAACACAAGTAGGCTGCCACCGCCTTAAAGTTTTGGAACCGATGACATAAAACGCAATTTTCATCCCAACAATTACTCAGAACATTTCAGAAGACCTTGAAGCAACCAAGGCAGATTCTACGCCCAACTGTGGGCATAAAGAAAGAAACCTGGGGTCTTTTGCAAATTATTCATAGGATTTTTTAATTTTTTAAAGACATTAATCGCAAAAAATATCCAACTCAAAAGGAGATGGAGAATGTGCTTCATAAGGACTTCAACAACGTCAATGTTACCAAAGCCATTACTTTAAACAAAGCCCCTTCAGTCCACTGATTTCAATTTTTGGCAATAGGAAGTGAACATTAATCGCAGCCAACTGTGAAATTACACTTGATTCCTGTCGTTAAATTGAATGGTAGTGTCACTGCAAAAGAAAAAACCCACCGATATAATAGAGATGTAGGGTAAAGCATGTACAGCAATTTATTCACAAAACAAAGAACTCTTCCTTTTTAGCAATAAAAAAGTTTCACTGGGAACGAGAAATTAAGCATTCATCCCATCCCATCCCCCCCCCCCCAAGTCAAGTCAGAGTTGACCATTCCCTAATTCCTATTTCAGTGGAATGCACGTCAAATTCTATATTGGAAATAGCTAAAACCGAGTAAAGTGTTCATACGAAAGGCGAGTTAGCAGCAGATAGGAAGACTCGCATTCCCATGAAGTGCTCTGTCTAGTGGAAGGTAATATGGAAAGATCTCAATCAACTATCACACAAAAAGGGCCACAGTCACGTCTAGAGGAGCAGGTGGGGTGAAAGAAGTGGTGCTTATCGTTGGATGCGTTGGATGTGAAGATCTGTGGGGGAGGGAGGGGGGGGGAGGATAAAGTCGTAAATTACGAAGCCGAGTAACAATGCCCCGCTTAAGAAAAATCTTAATTCCTATAATTTTCCTGAGACGGGTAGGATTAACATTTCTTAATAACAGTTCGTTTCTGATTAGAATCAATTCCTTAGTACCAATGCTATAGGTCACAGTCTAATCTCCACTTATACAATAGTGTCCATTTTCCGAGATGAGGCCATTTTTGTCATGCAAAAAAATAACTTCAAGGATTAATTACACAATTAAAATACTCAGGAAAAGAATTAACTAAAATTACCGTGCACGTGATTTTAACATTTTCGATAAGCCTAGGTGTTCTAGCACTCGCGACCCCAAGATTTGGCCCTGCTGACATTCAAGCTAGCCAGCAGAAGCATCAATCGGATCACCTGCACAGTAACTAATTGATTGACAAGGACGATATAGTTCAGTTTACATATAATGTACAAATCAAGTCCTACTTCACTCTTTTTATTTTACACATGAAGGTGGGCCCATAGTTTGCTGCAAGCCGAGGAATAACCAAAGCCCCAAGAGGCGTACCACTATCCCGACGAGGTGCAGGCACAATACTAACACCCAGAGAGGGATTCAATTGAGTCGCACAATGATTGATAAATTCAGTTGGATCAACCACAGCGAAGGAGGCACCTTCGCTGCTGCTGCTGCTGCTGCTGCTATTGTCGGTTGAATTCGGGGTTGACAAGCAGGATTCAATGACCCCCTGATTTTGAGCCACCGAAAGGGTACAGGTTGAGTAAACTATATATCCACCAACGTCACAAAGGGACATCCCATGTCTAAAAAAGTGCAAAAGGATTTACCTTAGCAACAGATGGAGAAAGTTCAGCGGGCGTTAGTTACACACACATCAGCACAACCTCTAATTTAATAGTCCTTCAAGAAACAATAATTGAATTCAAAAAAACATAGTTAAAAGTATGCATGAAGAAAAGCAAAGCTTAAAAATGACCATTTATATTTAAAATGGGGGTGTGCGATAGACTTACCTCCACGTGGCGCACCCTGGGTAACAAATATTCATACGGTAAAAAAGTCTATCAATGAGCGGTTGACTTCTGACTTCAAACTGCCATGATCAAACTGTATGCCATATTCGACTACTTTCACAGTACTCATCTCACCTTTTTTCTACCTTCGTCTTTAAAGCACTCTTCTGTTCCCCTTCCCCTCTCGACTTTTTTCCACTTTGATGTTCCTTCCCCTCTGTGAAGCCCGAAGTCAACTAAAGGGCTAATGATAACTATCAGAACGCCTGCCATTTGATATAACTATTTAAAATCTGCTACAGTGAGATTTCCTACTCCCTAGGACATATGGAACTTTACATGGATCCCTAAGGAGCAAAAAAAATGCCTTTTACACAACAAATGCCAAAGCAACAGGTTGCAATTGACAGTAAAGTCACGTAAATTTGAAGGAAATCCATGGTACCCGTGAAACGAGCGTGATGAAAAAAGCCCCAAAATAGTATTCGATTAGGTACCTAAGTGTTTGAGTTCATATAGGGAGGAGACAGCGAAGAGAAATGTCAGCATATTGCTTGAATGAGGTATTTATTTATTTGTTTATTTCAAATGGCAGGCTTTATGATATTTATCATTAACCCTTAATCTTTGACTTCAGCTTCCCCCAAGAGGGGGGGGGTCTAAATCTTTGACTTCAGCTTCCCCCAAGAAGGGGGGGGGTACATTTATAGCAGTTAATTAATAGCAGTTCATTAGCAGTCTTCTTGCTTACCTTAATCTTTGACTTCAGCTTCCCCAAGAGGGGGGGGGGGTACATTTATAGCGGTTATTAACACAGCCCATGGGTGGGGGGTACATATATAGCAGTTAATTAATAGCAGACATTAGCAGTCTTCTTGCTTCCCAGTATCTTTGGCTTTCCTGTAGCTGTCTTCTTGCTTCCCAGTATCTCTGGCTTTCCGGAGTAGCTGTCTTCTTGCTTCCCAGTATCTCTGGCTTTCCGTAGCTGTCTTCTTGCTTCCCAGTATCTTTGGCTTTCCGTAAGCTGTCTTCTTGCTTCCCAGTATCTCTGGCTTTCCGTCGTGTCTTTAGGGCTGGACATCGAATCAGGTGGGTCTTCTCCGTTTCCTCATGTAGGTTACATAGAGGGTATGTGGGTTGAGTGCATACTCCCAATCTGGGTTACATGGAGGGCATGTGGGTTGAGTGTATAATCCCAATTTGTGAGATTTTGCCAAGCAATCGTGTCCGGAACGTAGTCTAAACTCAGCAACGGCTTCGATTCTTGGCCAAAGTCTAAACTCAGCAACGGCTTCGATTCTTGGCCATTCGGCTATGTGGTAGAGTGCCACTCCTAAACTCAGCAACGGCTTCGATTCTTGGCCATTACGTAGTCTAAACTCAGCAACAGATTCCATTCTTGGCCATGGGGTATGTCAGAGAGTGCCACTGTCCAGTCGGCTATGTCGGAGAGTGCCACTGTTTCTCCTTTGTTCGAGCTTTAATTTCGTTGCACACTGTCCACGTCTCCTGTGTTCGAGCTTTAATTTCGTTGCACCTTGAGGTATGTTTTCTCCTTTGCTCGAGCTTTGAGTTCGTTGAACCTTGAGGTCTGGAATTCTCTCCTGATTAAGGCCTTCATTGTGTAGAAAGACATCAGCCGGTCCATTCATTGCAAAATCGCTGTCCCCTTCTTAGCAAGTGTGTCAG